GAGACACAGACCGGAGCACATGGCTGCAGCGAAGAGGGTGTTGCGCTACTTGTGCAGTACGTCGGGCATGGGGCTTGTGCTTGGAGGGCAGAGTCCAGTGGTCCTCACTGGGCACGCAGACGCTTCTTGGGCTGACGACCAGGCTACGCAGCGGTCGTCACAGGGTTACACCTTCAGCCTTGGTTCCGGTTGTGTTTCGTGGCGGGCTACCCGCTCGTCTTCTGTTCTCGGCTCTAGTTGTGAGGCTGAGATCTACGCTGGGGCCATGGCTGCACAGGAGCTTCGCTGGCTCACCTACCTGCTGACTGACCTCGGAGAGCCGCCTCGTTCCCCTCCAGTGCTGTACGTAGACAACAAGGCCATGCTGGCCTTGTGTCGAGAGCAGAGACTGGAGCACAGAACGAAGCACATTGCTCTTCGCTACTTCCTTGCTCGTGAGCTACAGCAGCGTGGTCAGCTGCGACTTGCGTACGTGGCCTCTCAGGCCAACACTGCTGATATCTTCACCAAGGCACTTGCGCCTTGTGATCATCAGCGTTTCTGTACTCAGCTGGGCCTTGTGCCTACCTTGCCTCACTTGCTCACCCCTTGACCTTGTTTGTACTGTTGCATATATATATACACGTGCTCTTGCTTGTCTAGCCTTATATATATATGTAATCCTGCATGTGAACTGGCCTTGTGGCCTTGAACTTGTGCTCAGAATGTGTGGTGACTTTGTGATCCACCCTGAGCTTGCTTTGCTTTGCTTGACTGGTCTTGTGACCCCTTGTTCTTCCCCACTTTGCCTATGGGGGTGTGTCAGATTTATATGACAGAGCTACTGTAGGCTATAGTGGGGTAGCACATATGGGGTACAGTTGTTCTAGGGTTTGCATTTGTACCCAACTTTCCCTTAGTCATTTCCATTCCTGTTTTCTTCATTCACAGCCGAAGCTATTTCCGAAGCTGGGGTTTATCCCGCAGGTCACAACAAACATTGATCCAACCTGATTCGACGGAGATTTTCGGCCGACATGCCATCATCATGAATTATCACCTCGCTTGTGTCACACGCCATAAAAGGTAGCCTGAGGGTGTCGTTGTAGACTCACTTCTGGGTGTCCCGCACGTGGGTGGCCTTGGGGCAACCCTCAGGGCGCATCCCCTCCCTCGATCGATCCTGCTATCGATCAGTCGAGGACCTGCTATAGTGCACTATAGCATCGCAATTCACAGGGTAACCAGATTTAAAGAGCGCACGCGAATGTACAGTGAACGGTGTACGACGATCTTGTCACCCCCAAATGTAGCGCAATCGTTGTACTTACTTGCGCACATTGATCTGGGGACTGAAGTGCGAGCCCCAAGCTCGAACTCTACCGTATTACCCCGGATAGTAGCGCATATGCGCTTATAATAAAATCAGTTTTTTTGGGGGTGGCGCTATTAATTGAGTATCGGCCATAAGTGCCGGCGCTTATTGTCACAATAGCAGGCAGAACGAGGAACCATAGCTAGGGTTTAGCTAGCTAGGCAAGAGAGAATGAGCAAAGGAGGGGTTGCACTAGCAGCAGTTGAGATACATATAGGAAACCCTAATTGGGTTGTACTCGCTATAGAGTACCCCACTGCAGGCTAGACAAGCATGATATTCTGACACACCCCCATAGTCAAAGTGGGGTATAATCAGCACAGCAAGCAATCATAGAGCAGGTTCACAAGAACAAGCAAAGCTAGAGGCTATCACAGAGGGCAAGTGAGGAGGAGGAGGGACTATGAGATGAGAGGACGTGGTGGGCGGCAGCTGAAGCTGCTGGCACACGGCGCAACTGGAGCAAATGGCACACGGGCAACTGGAGCAACTGGCACACTGGCAATTGGAGCAACTGGCACACGGGCAACTGGAGCAACTGGCTCCACGGCTAGACGAGTGGCAAGAGCAACTGGCTCACGGGCGACTGGAGCAACGGGCTCACGGGCGACTGGAGCGACGGGCTCACGGGCGACTGGCGCAACGGTCTCACGGGCGACTGGAGCTGCTGGCTTCACGGCGGCCACCCCCCTTCAACCTCCCCCACTGTCCCAATGCTCCCGTTCACACACCCCCTGCTGTTCCTCTAGCACTGCACCCACGACACCCCCCTAGCGCCACACCCGCGGCTCCCACACATCCACCCCCCTTAGCGGCAGCTGCAGCAGTGGGAGACGGAGTAGGAGGAGGAGCAGGGGACGGCTCAGACACCCGGCATCCCCATATTCGCCACCCCCAAACCCTAACACAGGCAGCACGGGGCAGGAGAGCGTGCAGCAGCGGGGGCGGTGCTCGTGGTCAAGCGGGACGGCTGGGGCAGGCTGTACGGGCCGCGCACGGGCCTGGCGCGGGCCGTACGAACCGCGCGCGGGCTGTATGGGCCACGCGCGGGCCTGGCGCAGCCCGTACGAGCCGCGCGCGGGCCTGGCGCAGGCCGTACGGGCCGCGCGCGGACCTGGCGCAGCCCGTACGAGCCGCGCGCTGGCCTGGCGCAGGGCGTACGGGCCGTGCGCGGGCCTGGCGCAGGCCGTACGGGCCGCGCGCGGGCAGTACGGGCCGCGCGCGGGCCTGGCGCAGGTCGCGTGGGCCGCTTCGGGCGACGGGGGGCGACGTGCGGGTCCCCGGGGGCGCTGCGACGGGCGACGGGGGGCGACGCGCGGGTCGACGGGGCAGAAAACCGCCGCGCGCCTCGTGGCGCACGGCGGGCAGAAAACCGCCGCGCGCCCCGAGCGCTCGGCGGGCAGAAAACCGCCATGCGCCCCGAGCGCGTGGCGGGAAGAAAAAATAGCGTCGCGCGCCACGGGGCGCGCGACAGACAGGAAAGCAGCGGAAGCAGGTGGGCCCACAGGCCAAGAGCGTGACAGCTCTGTTACCATGTCACAATAGCAGGCAGAACGAGGAGCCATAGCTAGGGTTTAGCTAGCTAGGCAAGAGAGAATGAGCAAACGAGGGGTTGCACTAGCAGCAGTTGAGATACATATAGGAAACCCTAATTGGGTTGTACTCGCTATAGAGTACCCCACTGCAGGCTAGACAAGCATGATATTCTGACACTTATATAATGACAAATACAGAAATACAACTTCAACGCATCAAATTGTACATTTCCGTCTCGTAAGTTCAATCGAGTCGATATTTTATAGCGTCCTGAATTTGAATCGCGTGAGGGCGAATCTCTGACGCTGCACATAGCTTTTCGCACGTCAATTTGCCCGCGTGCCACCTCATCCTGACTGGACGCGAAACCAGTCAGGACCTCGAAAGTCAAACAAAGTGAAAATGGGTGTTGACTCGCTTGAAATTCGAAATTCGTTACTGTTTTAATCAGGATTGAAATAATAAAATTATGCATGCGCTTATAATAAATCAGGGTTTTACACGGGGGGCGCTTATAATCGAGGAACGGCCATTAGCGCCATGCTCCAGATATAGGCGCCGGCGCCTTTAATCGGACGGCACCTATATCCGGGGCCATACGGTAGGTGACAACAACAATCGATCGTCATCGTGTAGTCACATCGCAATGTCTAATGACAATGTAACTACATTTCGGGATGGCAGGCGATTGTCGCGCAACCCTATATCCAACTGCAATCCTGAGCCTGTCACTGGGCCTCGAAACCAATATAGAGATCGAGAATCAGCTGTCACCACCTACCGATCTTGCCCCGATCTTGCAAGTGCTTGAGGGAGGGGACACGCCCTCACTTTCCAATCAATTTTGGCGTTCACATATTTGGGATGGAGTCGGATGCATATGGAGTCCTATATCGGAGCGTCGTCATACCCTGCCGACATCAACGGTACCGTAGCACCATGCGCCACGGCTTGGTAACGGCAGGTGCCAGTGCTGCGAGCTGTAACAGCGCCACAAACCCACCCTTCGTGTCCCAAACTACCAGCACAGATGGACACGTTGCCCCTGCAGTCAGCAACGCTCTCAGCAGTGCGATCAGCAGCGGCATGAGCAGCGGCAGTGGCAGCAGTAGCACGACTGTCATTACAGTGAGCAGCGATGAGCCTCGAATGCCGCTGGTACCCCAGTGGCAGTAGCACCCCTGGGAGGTGCAACGACGACCGCGGCAGCACCGTCGGCGACTGCGATCCCGTTTTCAGCCTTGGCCATGACATCATGGCTCCTCTAGTAGCGCGCTGCTCCGCAGATTGCCCCACGTGCGCCAGCTGCCACCCCAGGAGTGAATCCCAATGCCGAAGCAGGTATGCTGGCGAGCCCGTGGCCGTTAAGATTCTCAAGGGGGAGACGGGAGAGACGGGGCAGTGGCGGAGCTGGGGGTTGGGGTGGGAGGAGGTGGGGGTGCAGGCGTGGGTGGTGGGGGGAGAGGTGGGAGGGGAAGGGGAGGTCGGAAGTCGGGAGCCAGTACAGCTGCTTCGGCCGCTGCTGCCACCCCTCCAGCCACCACTACTGCTGCTGCCCCTGCTGGTGCCAGTCGAGCTGAGAACCCAGCTGGTTCAAGCACCAATGGTGGCGGAGCTGCCAGCAGCAGCGGATGTGCATTTGCGACCGGCATTCTGACCACCAGTAAGCAGCTGCGTCCGTCGGAGTTCTGGAGAGAAGTGATGGCAATGGTGTGGTGTGGGCATCAGTGGCCTCAGCTGCTACGCTTCTGTGGCGCCTTATTGAGTTGAGTGGGAGCCATTTTCGTAATAGGGTGATTACTGAGGATCCATGACGTACGAGTGCAAAATCACAACTCATTCATGTCGCCACCCCGCCACCTCTCTCCTGTACCATGATCCCCCACGTGCGATGCACCAGGTTCTCGAAGGTCCATCATGCCAGCCCTGCCATGCGGTACTGGTGGTGGTGGTGACCCGTGCATTTAAGGCAGGAGAAAGCGGGAGGGAAAGAGATGGAAGGGAGTGCAAGAATTACAGGAACGGGATCAGGAACACAAGTGTGTATGGGGGAGACACGGAACAGGCAACACAGGCCCATCCACTCTCATCCCCTCACTGCCTACCTTCATCACCACCTCCCTCCCATCATTACCCCCTCGCCCCCAGCACCCTCCCTGCGCATGTTGGGCAGGAACCCGTGCCAGTCATATGCTGTGAGGGCGCCCCCACCAGCTGCAGCACAGCGGGCGACAGCACTGCTGCTCCCTCCCACCCCCCCTCGCCCTCCCCTGCTGCATCCTGCGCCCATAGCTCTTAGCTGGAAAAGAGCACAGAGGGCGTTAGCGCTTGTTCCATGCTTCCAGCATGGGAGTTGGCGGTGGTCATAGTGGTGGTGTGGGGGAGGGATAGGGAGAAAGGCTGGGGGGTTGAAGGGAAGATGGGGGGGTTGGTGGGTGTGGAGGAGGTATTATTGGGATTATGAACTGGGAGGAAGAAGGAAGAAGAAGCCAGGAAAAGGGGGGGGAAGAGGGGAGGAGGGGAATTGGGGGATAAGATGCAGCAAGTGTAACGTTGCAAGCAGCAGTGGGCATTTGCAAGGGGCTATGGTCTCACGTTAAAAAAGTGCAAGCGGCTTGCTCTGACCAGCTGCCATGTACAATGCTACCTCCCTCTGTGTGCCATGCAGTGCAATCGCATTCTATGCACATGCAGAAAAGAATGCGTGTATGCGCACGCACGCATACACGCACACGCATGCACTCACGCACACACGTGCACGCAACCTCGCACATGCATGCACGCACACACATGCGGAGCATGCAAGCAGACAGTTGGGGGGCAGAGTGTGTAAGAGGTCATTGTACTTGCGCACCTGTCATGGCAGCACAGGCAGGTACACACGAGTGGGATGGGAGAGCGCAGAGGAAAAGGCGAGGGGGTGTGGTGGGCGGGGGCAGATGGATGGGCAAAGTTGGGAGTGCAAGATTGGCAGCAGAGGGCAGCAAGGAGCTGGCTGGTAAGGGTTCCACAGGCTAGGGAGGTGTGAGAGTTAGGGGGGGGTCTTACTGCTTCAGCCCATCGGCTCATGGCGTGCAGTCAAAGAAGCTTCCAGGAAGCGCATCTCAATGTGTGATGGTGCGAGGCTAAGGACGTGCTGCGCTGTGGGTAGCACGGTGCTGTGGGTGTGGGATAAGCATGGTGGGGGATACCACAGTGGAAATGGCATGTGGGAGGGCACTGTGAGGGATGGCGAGTGGTGTGGGAGGCAGGCATGTGTCGGGCGCATGGAGACATGCGAGCATGTGAGTGTGGGAGATTGGGGGGTTGCAAGCACTGACTAATAAGGCATGCGAGGAATAGGAGGGAGGGGGTATCGGGGAATTGGGGGGGGGGGGGGGGGGGAGGGAGGGGAGGGGTTGAGCTGGAAGGTGTGAATTGAGAGGGGATGCGTAATTAAATGGAGGGGGAGGCTGAGGGGACCACGGGTGACATACTGGTGATGGCCCATGGAGAAATGGAGGTTGGCATAAATGCAGTGCACCTCCACAAAGGTGGGAGGTAGGGCCGAAGGGGGAGACACATGGCACAGAGCAGCACAAAACAGCATAACACAAAAGAGCAGGGACATTGGAGCATTGCAGTGGGTGGCGTGGCAGCTCATACTGAAGCACAAGCATGGAATTGCCTGCTCGCATGTTCACTTGTCACGCTTGCTATTCTTTGCACTTCTTTCACGGTATGTGGATAATCCTTCTCTCTCCCACACTTCCTTCCCCCCACTCCACCTCCCAACCACTGCCCCCAACGATTCACCCCCTTCCACCCCCAACCACCCCCACTCCCCCCCCCCCCCCCCCCCCCCCCCCCCCCCCCTCCACCCATCATTCCCCCTTCCCCTCCCCCCCCCCCCCTCCACCCATCATTCCCCCTTCCCCTCCCCCCCCCCCCCCCCTCCCCCCTTTTCCCCCCTCTCCCCTCCCCTCTCCCCCCATCTTCTCACCGTGCGTCCATGGCCTGCAAGGTGGCATCAGTGTCGTGCACGTGCCCCGCCACCATGAGCGCCTGTCCCAGCACCACGCGCACCTGCCAGTACTGCCCCTGCGCCGCCACCACCGCCTGTAGCTCCCCCACCGCCTCCCCACACCGCCCCGCTTCCAGCAGTGCCTGCGCCGGTGGGTGCACGGGAGGGGGGGAGGGGAGAGGGAGGAGAGGGAGGGGAGAGGGAGGGGAGAGGGAGGGGGATGGGCGAAGTGGGTGGGGAGGGAGGGGGGATGTGGAGGAATAGGAGAGCGTTGGGTCTGAGGGGAGAGGAGAGGTGGGTGTGTCAGGGTTGTACTGCCGCTGGCACTGGCATGGAGAAGCACAGGAGGAGGCGGTCAGGGGAGGGAGACGGGGTGACGAGATGCGAAGCCAAGACAAGGGTTCATACTGAGCTTCATTTCATGCCACAGTGTGTGCTGATCGTGTGTGAAAAAAAGAAGGAAGGGGTGGCGGGGGGTGGGGGGACGGGGGGTGAGCGCGTGCGTGCGTTGTGGTGGCCTCCCAGTGACGACCCGCAGCACGGCCTTGAAGCCCCCGATGGCCTCCCAGTGACCACTCGCTCCCAACAGTGCCAGGGAATCCACGGGGTGGGAATGCACGATGGAGAGGAGGCCGGGTAGAGGTGCAGTGCAGAGTAGAGGGAGCTTCAGCTGACCGCAGTGATCTTCGTGGCTGTTTGTGTACGAGCCGTTGTTGCTTCTTCAGGAATGAGTTGTGCTCTTAGCGATTAAGTGCCTTCCCCTAGCCTCATGCTCTACCAAGCCCTCCTCCCTACACCTCCCCCCTCGCTCCCCCCCCTTGCAATTCCTGTCCCCTCACAACCTTGCCCTCTCACTCCGTCCACCTACGTGTTCCTCCCTTCTGGGACAGACAAGGCCCACGTGTGCCAGCCTTGGGCTGAGGAATGGTTGACCCGAATCAGAACCTGGAGGGCACACGTGGAAACACGCTATTCATCCATGTACTCTTGAGAATAATTGCGGAAAATCCGTCTGTCGTGCACTGTAGGAGAGCGTGTAGGCGATTTGTGACAAACAGAGTCGTCTCTCATCTCAAGAAGTCCGGCTTGACCGACCTCGATGGGTTGACCCTGCCCTATGACATGCCATGCCAGGCCTACATGGAGAGAGGGCGTGTCGACTAAAAAAGGGCGTGGTTGAATGAAATAGGAGGTGAGCGAGATGATGAGGGAGAGAGGGGAAGTGGTGATGCCATAATCACCACACCACACTGCACCGCATCAGACCTCACTACCACACTGCACTGCACCACCGCGAGTGGATGGAGTGCGTGCTCTGTCCACACCACACCTTCCAGGAGAAACAGCTGGGCGCACGTCCCATCTGCCCACACCACCCCTCCACCCGCCTTGCTCCCGTCCTCGCACCATACTTGCTCCTCCTGCGCTCCGCTCCGCCTGCCTCCTTGTTGCCCGCCACCCTCTGTTGCCGCTTCCCCGCCCGTCCCCCTCCCCCTCTCCGTCTTTCCCCTTCCGCTGCCCCCCAGATTGTCCCCACCCCAGCGCCACCAGCCTTCAAGCCTGCTGCTGGGGGGGGGGGGAGGGGGGCGGGTTGGGGGGGGGGGGGAGGCGGAAGCAGGGGTGGAGAGAAGGTGGGAAAGGGTGGCGAAGAGTCAGTAAAGGGAGCGGGCGAATGGGGAGACGAGGTGGGCTCGGGGCGAAGGGGGAGCGAACGAACGGTGGGGAGGGGAAGTTGGGTTCAACGGACAGCAGAGAGACAGAGCGGTAACGCGGTTGAGAGGGAGAGAAGGGAGCGGCAGGGAGGTTAAATTGCATTCCGACAATCAGATATCCCATCACGAGCCGCAGATGAACACGAGGCCGCACCGCATCGCATCCCGACATCAACATTAGCGAGGGAACTGTGAGAGGGACGAGACGGCGGTAACCCGAACCCAGCGCAACCTCGACTTCAGCGATCTCGCCAGAGGCGCTGGCCACCGACGAACCTGATTCCCTCTTCTCTGTGGTCTCTTTGATGGAGTTGCTGGTGCCTTTGACCTCCTATCGCGCAGACTGCCCGCCGTGCTGCGACCTCGCCGTTCCTCCACCTGGCATCTGACCCACTTCAAGCCTTCCCCCTTCCACTCGCTGACCGTGAACCCTGCGAGCCTGGTGCCCCTGATTGGTCAACATTCTCCGAAACATCCTGATTGGCCGGCAGTGAAAAGGCGCCTGCGGCGGCAATTCCTCGCTGGCGGGGGGTTTGAGAGAAGCTGCACAAGGGCACAAGTACAGACTCGCTGTGCAAACCCCCATCGCCACGACCCCAACCCGATGACACGGGCGTGGTCGCCAGAGCAGAGGGACGGTCCCAGGCGGGCTTTTACTACGACTCTCGAAGCGTCACCTGTTTGACACCTGTTGTTACACCGACCTAGACCGAGACCGAAACCGTACTACTTCAACCGCTCCGCCGCGCCAAGCACCCGTCGGCACCAGACACGCACGACTCACCTGGCCAGCTCCTGTCGCGGACTCCAACCTTTCAGTGCCACAAAATTTCGTTCCGAAAAAATCTTTCCGAAAATTTCTTGGCACAAAATACTGTGGCGCTGCGAGAATGGGGTCGGGGCTACCCTTCTGGAACGACATTCGAACATTCTGCGCGACGCGGCGGAACTGCTGAACCACCGTGGGTAATCATCTCCACGCGCTCGTCAATAAGATCTTGGCTGGAAAGCGGTCGAGCAAAGTGGCAAAACTCCGAGACTGATAGAGCGTTGATTGAGCGGCGGCTACTGTCAGCGCTCCGTGATTCCCATCTTGCTTCAGCTTCTGCCACTCGTCCGCTTCTCTTCATTTTGTGAGAAGTACCCGTCTTGATCCCTAGTATATTAGCGCACCCATTTTGATTGCTGATGCGCTTATACAAAGCGATTGTATCGAGTGCTCCACTATAAGCGTATCCAATATGCTTGCTCAGGTATATAAAAAAAGGAATTTGCTACAATCTAACAGGCTCATATTCTCAGCGTAGTGATTCCATATCGTTGTATTACTCTAGCATGTCTGTTTGTGAATGTGACCGTTAGGAACGCAAATAGTCTCTTAACTATTCCGTAACGCTCCAAAATAAGATAAATCGCCGATACAATTAAAGCGCTACTAAGCGACTAGGTACGTAATAATCGAAAAGGTTCTTTCTATATTTGTAGTCCAAAATCCCCCACATATACCATCCTAATAAGATAAATCTTCTTTCCTCTGAGTGTGATTAGATTTAGCTTGAATATTACATACGACCAATCTGAACAGATATGGATCACAATAATTCTATTGGGCAACGATAACATATTTATGTTTTCATTGTTTGGGGCACAATATTTTTTTTGGGACCCAGAGTCTCATTTGGGTAAGATTTGGTACGGTAAGCCTTCATCGTACCATATGCGCGTGATTGGATCGAATATGATTGAAGGCGACGAGAGATTTTGAGCAAGCCATGCGATCACACATACAATTTCAACAAAAGGTTTGAGCATCAGGGAAGCTTCTATGCTGTAACCATGTCCCTACCGCTGATAATGGGACGAGAATGTATAGATACAAGGGTTGAGAAAGTTTGTTGTCCTCGAGCGAAAATGTTCGCTCGGGGTTGTTACTTGTTAACAAGTGAACGAATAACTAGAATGAGTGCATAGAGTTGGGATATGTAGCAACCCATACAGGTATATGTATGCATACTTTGACACACCCCCTAGGCTAGGTAAGGGGTGGTGCCATGAAGAAGAGAAAGAACCCAGGGTGGCACTTCTACGGCAATGGGTCACAAGGCCAGTCAGCAAGAACAACAAAGTGTATGAGATACGGCTCAAGGCGGCATTACTAGCTTAGCCTCTGAGACAAGGGCCACAAGGCTAGTCAGCGAATGTACGTACGGAACCAACAACAGAACATAGTACATACATTAAGTTCTTACCAAGTAAGGCTTGGATGGGACAAATTAAGGTCTTATCAAATAGGGCTTGGCTAGGTCTTACGGAGTCGGAGTGCATCGCGACCTCCGAAGTTGGCAAGGATGCTCGCCGACTTCGCTTCCTCCGCGCCGAGTTCCATCTTCTGGATTCTGGGACGCCGTCCGTCCTCAACGTGGACAACCAGTCGGCCATCGCGGTCGCTGAAGGCTTGGGGCTAAAGGGCAACCTCAAGCACATTCAATGACACTACGTCTGACTGCAACAGAATGAAGCGCAAGAAGATTGTGCTACAGTACATCCCAACCACCAAGCAGCCGACCAACTTTCTCACAAAGTTGCTGCATTTCCCAGCCTTCAGCCGGTGCTCCGCCGCAGTTGGCCAAGTCCGCCTGGCCGACGTCGGCGACGGCGACGACGCCGTGCAGTAGTAGGCGCCAAGTTCTTCTACATGGCTGGTGCGGTGAACGGCGTGCTGGGTCTCCACGCCGGCGAAGTATCCCCTTTTACTATATTACTTAGCTTCTCGGTGGACCTTGTGTGTGGGTGCCCAAGCTCGAGCTAGGCAGGAGAGTGTTGACAAGAATAGGCTGTGCCCTCGCTTGGGCAAAGCCGACTTCGTCATTGGAGGAGCATGTTGGCTTGGTTTGCCAACCACAGCAAAGTCGACACGATGCTGGCAGACGAAGTGATGTCGGTGGCTTTGGCGGTCTAACAAAGTGCTCGTCGACGTGGTGCCGACCTACCGTCGAAGTCGGTGCTGGCTCAGCGGCCTCTTCTGGATGACCAGGTAACCTGGTTGACGAAGTTGTGCGGGCGTGCGCGAACTTCGCCCCAGGTGGTTTTGCCGAAGTCAACCTGCTGCATCTGCCACCACTGTCGACACGTGGTCGACCTGACACCTGCACAATGTTCGTGACGGTGCACGATGTGCTCAACCCTCAACCTGCACCTAGGGATGAGCAATATGACGAACTCCTGTTCGGTTCGCCTCGAACGTGTTCGAGGCGAACCGAACAGGATTTTTTTTTGGCCTAAATTGTTCGGGGCGAACGTGTTCGGTGTTCGCCCGAACACGTTCGCCGTTCGCCCGGCTCAGCTCGCCGAGGCGCGTCGAACACGAACGTGTTCGTGTTCGACACGGGCCTTCGACAAACACCAATGTGTTCGTCGACAAATAGGCCCGCGACCAATTTTTAGGTCGCGGGCCTTGGTGTTTGGGCTCAGATCTGGCCTTTCGCAGTTAGTAAAGTGCAGATCTAGCATTTTGCCATTGCTTAAGTGCAGATCGAGCATTTCGCCGTTGCTTAAGTGCGGATCGAGCATTTCGCCGTTATTTAAGTGCGGATCGAGCATTTCGCCGTTGCATAAGTGCGGATCGAGCATTTCATCGTTGCTTAAGTGCGGATCTAGCATTTCGCCGTTGCTTAAGTGCGGATCGAGCATTTCGCCGTTGCTTAAGTGCAGATCTAGCATTTCGCCGTTGCTTAAGTGCGGATCTAGCATTTCGCCGCTGCTTAAGTGCGGATCTAGCATTTCGCCGTTGCACGCTGGCACTAGATGGATGAAGCAGGGCGGGACTGGCTTGGGAGGTGGGGGGAGAGAATGTGCGACGATTTGAATTTTACTCTATATTGAATTTCCCCCTGGGCGAACACGAACATGTTCGCCACGAACATGTTCGTGTTCGCCTGTTGCAACAATTCGTTCGCCT